GGAATTCATCCACTTCTTGACATATTTCGGTAGTTTCGGTAGCCAGAAAGGTTTATGGGGTTCCATTCATTGGGTCAGTGTTGAGTCCCCATATTCCCAGTGTTATTATGTTATTCCATTGGTGTTCTCGTTTTTTAGATTGCTCACTCTTAAAACGTTCCATAGAGAGGGCCTTAAACATACTTCTGTGAGTGTAAATAATGCCGTTCTTGAGTTCTGTCATTTTGCGAAACAAATGATGTTCCGCTGCCGACCACAAGATGTCGACAACAGTTTATAGATGCTCTGTTAAAAAGGACGCTTTTCAGAAAACCATCCACCATATTCAGCACAAAGGGGCGCGGTTTCACCAGAGTGATGCATTGTGGGAGAATGGGTTCTTTTCTGTATTCTCGGCTGTGAAAACAACATCTGAATTAATATTGAAAAGGACTACAAATCCCATGGTGAGTGTGACGAGTCGGTTCGCCGCCTGACTTGCAACACAAGGCTAGAGGTGACCCCGCAGTCCAGTCCGACTCTGACAGGGGGAATCAGGCACCGCACAGCAAACCTATCTGCATTCGCTAGTTAAAATGGTAAGCTGGAATATTTTGACCTCGTTGGCTGATAGTAACTATGTGAACTAGACGTCGAATATCATAATACCGTTTCTCTTGGTTAAAAAAACGGTTTATTTAATGATGCGCTAGTCGTTAACATTGACAAGAAGGCGGCAGAGTAATTGTTTCATCTCACTTCATGCTGATGGTGTTACGAGTTTGTAATAAAGGTTATCTTTGTGTTGTACGAGACCCAAGGGCAAAGCAGACACGCGCAGGCTGTGGCGCAGGAAGGAGATGCGTTATCGAAAATACGGAAGATGTAATACAGCAACGGTCTGTTGCGGGTTAGTGCACCGCTGTACTGTTTAACAGTCGCTGGTTCACTGTACATCAAAACCTCCATTTTAATATGAAGGAGAGGCGGTGGCGTGGCATCGGCCTCAAATTACATCAGCGGCCTTTTCTTTCAATCTGTTAGCGTAACCAATCACAACAGGAGCTCCATCAGATTGAAATCTCTCTTACAAACCGCCCGGTTAGAAATAATGCAAGGCGGGCTCTGAACATACTTGTGTGCAGTTTATTTTGTGTTTAAAATGCACGTTAAGCCTGTATGCAATTCGCCCATTTCATTGATTATTTCTCATTAAAGTGAGTGCGAAGTCATACAAGCATGAAAGGAATCCCTTCCATGCTTGTATATACTTAAGTATGTCTGTCCACTGCTTGATGAATTTCATGCATGGACAATGAGACAGAGATACCAAGTGCTCACAGAAAATAAACAATAATTTTGCTACTCTTGCTATTATGCAAGAATATTAGATCATTCTGTTTGTCCTCATTTTCATAACGGGCTTTGTTGTGAAGTTTTGTCTATGAGGAAGACATCACTGTCCTCAATGTAAAGATTTAGTTTGTTATGCATGTGTGCTTTTCAACTAGAAAGAAAAGTCACAGCCAGTGAGCCAACAATGATAGTTACTGCTCCTTCATTTCCTGCCTCAGTTGTTTAACTGGGTCAGTGACGCTACTGTTTTTGTCTATGCAGGCTGAACCAATCCGTGTTCTGGTGACCGGCGCTGCTGGCCAGATTGCCTACTCCCTGCTGTACAGCATCGCCAAGGGAGATGTGTTCGGGAAGGACCAGGTGAGATTCATTCTGAGCTTTGATTACATAATGTTCAGAAGCAGCAGAGTCCCCTTCTGCCCGATCCCGATCTCTGACTGGGACTGTTATATAATGGAATTAGCATGAGTAATGAACATGCCTTGTTAATGGAGTTCTGATCTGTGAGAGAGTGTAGGGAAAAAGGAGAAGTGAACAAAGTTTTCAAATAAGAGGCCTCTTTATGAACAAGTAGTCTCTGTGAGCCTAAAGCTCAGGCTGCTCTAAACGCTCTTTCGCTGACATGGACATCTCATGTACACAGTGCTGCCTGTAAGCACAAAAGCCCCTCCCACTTGCTGTTCACTCTTATGTTTGATGAGTGCAGCCGTTTGAAGAAAGTTGACTTAAAGGGAGTGTGGTCTCTAAGTGGGAGGGGCTAAAACAGCTTGTCTTAGAAGATGAAGCCAATGTAAGAGTATTAAACTCGTAATCAAATCAAATCACTTTTATTGTCACATCACATGTGCAGGCACACTGGCACAGCACATGCGAGTGAAATTCTTGTGTGCGAGCCCCACAAGCAACAGAGATGTGCAAACACAACAACATGCAAAGGTATGCTATTAGAATAAAATAACAGAGCTTTAATAACTCATATGGATTGAGGAAGGCATTGGAGAAAAGCATGGGAAAACTCCCACACTTGTTAAGGTTTGGAAGAACAAGTTTTAGGAACAACAGGTTCTACTTTAGTGATTGCATCTGAAACCTGATTCCATGCCAATATTGCAGTTTAAAACATGACCTTAATGAGTCACTCCATGTGGGAGGTGACACCGGGAAATGCATCGAAAGGTCTTTGTACGAGGTGTAGAAAGGAGCTAATCTGCCCCAAATCCTTTCACTTTCATGCTATATTCACCTTAATTACAAAAAATAATAATCTTGCTGCACTGAGTGTTTTGCACATTTTTCCCGACATTTATAAAATGAGCTCTGCATAACCTTATCAAAGCATTATTAAGTGACTTAAGTTTGCTTGCTTTTGTCTGCCAGGATACTGGACAGCACAGGAAGTTTGGATAACTGACTGATCCTGTCTGTTCAAGATAGCATTTTCACTAGAAAGAGCTTACACGTTAGAGGACATGCTAGAAATAGCCAGTGTTAGCCAGACGAAAGACAAAGTACGAAATAATTCTGTAGATGCCCGGCTGATGTTAACCATGCGATTTCCCCAAGTATCTATCTGTCTCTGGATTTAGCCACTAGCAAAATCTAATTTTAAGCCACATCAGTGTTTTCGTGGATAAACCCTGTTTTGCTTACAAATAAATCAGTCAAAAGTTTTTGGGTTTTTTGTTTGTTTTATATCACTTACAATAAAGTGTTTGGTTTGAACTTGTGTGATGCACATTGAACACCATAATTCAAGTTGTCTTACTGTGATGTCACCATGTTGTGTTCTCAGCCAATCATCTTGATCCTCCTGGACATCCCCCCCATGCTGCCAGTGCTTGATGGAGTCGTCATGGAGCTGCAGGACTGCGCCCTCCCCATTCTGAAGGGTAAGCCCACACCGTGTGTCCGTGCATGGCAAGAATTCATGGTGAATCTTCTCAATCAGTTGGATCTAAACTAGCCTTTTAACTACAAAAATAACTGCTTGTTTATTTTCTGGAATCTTAAAAGGTGTTGCCTGCCTTTGAAGATGTTGACAAATATTCTGCAGAGCTTTTGCTAATTATTTTGAATCAGAAACCACTCTATTATGTTAGCATGCAATACATTGTTCAAAAGCTGTTTATTGCTCATTTTAAGCTCAAGTGGATAGAAGGATGGAGATTTTAAGAAGTCAGCGGCCAGATGCAGCCACAGATGCTTGTTGTGCTCCATCTGGAATGCAGTACACACTGTGTGTGTGTGTGTGTGTGTGTGTGTGTGTGTGTGTGTGTGTGTGTGTGTGTGTCCTTCATAAACTGTGGGCAGAAGCCTTCTCTGTCTACTGCTGCTGCTCTTTGGAGGAGTGTCTAAAGTACAGTTTCTGGTTGGCTGCTGGTTCAGGCACCACAGCAGCCAATCAGAGCAGTGGTGGGACAAATATGAATATAGTAGAGATGAACCCCGACTGAAGTCCAGGCTGATACCAGCCAGCTTACGTCTAACATCAGACATCAAGCACATCTTATCAGCAAAGGCAGAATCAGCCAAGGCTGCAGATATTCATGTGGACTCAGTCGCTCAGTAACAATGAGCTTTTGTTACAGTAAAAATTGTGAGAAGGTTAATGTGACCCTATCGAGGACTATCTTCACTTGGGAAATAATCATTCTTTATAAAGTATCACACTGATTTTGCCGTTAGAAATAAATACTACTGTCCAAAGTTTGTACACAACTAAGAACAAAAAAAATCGCATAGTAGGCAGGCCAATCAGCTATACCCTACGTATCTTTGAGATGCCAAGCTTCTGTAACTTTCATTAAAGTAGTCGCTATTTTTAGTCAGAACTTACAAAGTTATGCGCAAAGTTACGCTTGCAGGGAGTAACTGGGTACACTGGGTACTGATGCTGGTTTTAAAAATCAGTGTGTGTCTTATCAGTCCATGCATTTACTTCTTCTTATCATTACGTTCCTGCAGCGGCCCCTTTGTTCAGATAGCTCATGGTGCAGTGTAGTGATAAACACAGAAAGAAAATCTCCTGACAGGATTGTGCTTGGGGTTTGCAGACTAAAACAACTGTGGGCAACTGACAAATAAAGGCTCTCTCTCATCTCGCTCATCAAATTGTTGTCAAAATATTGGAATATTTAAGTCCCAATTGCGACAGCTAACGTGCTTCGTCTCCAACAGAGGTCATCCCCACTGACAAGGTAGAAGTGGCTTTCAAGGACATTGATGCCGCCATTTTGGTGGGTTCAATGCCCAGGAAGGAGGGCATGGAGAGGAAGGACCTGCTCAAGGCCAACGTGGCCATCTTCAAGACGCAAGGAGGTGCTCTGGACAAGTATGCGAAGAAGACTGTCAAGGTGACCCCTCGACTTTCACTATACCCATATTTACGTTCATTCCATTCGCTTTTTTTGGGGGGGGTGTAATATTATTATATTAGCATAATATTATTTTCAGATATTTTGTTGAAAATCTGTGACTTACTAAGCCAGTTGCAGCTGATGAACACAGGAAGTGAAAGTGCTTATCCAGAAAACGTCTTTTGCATGTCAAAACCATCTGTTTGTCTGCTGGACGTCACACAGCAGCGTCATGCTGCTGCGTAACAGAACTGCAGGTCTCCAAAGGTTCCAACTGTGTTTTGTTGAACTTGCATTTTGTACTGTGGCTAATCTTAAAATCTCTAATTCAGTGAGGATTAGTCCCGAGTACTTTATCTTCAAAAATCTTTCTTTTTCATGCCAGAGTTCTGTTTACAAAGGGGAGAAGAATATTTGTGTTTTAAGTCCTTTTTGTCGAGAGCTAAATTTATTTGTGTGATTCATTTCTGAGTTTGTTTATGCAACAGAGCGCCGTGGGCCATAACAACCCGCCCTGCTTAGAAATGACTTTTAACAGAGCAGCTACAAACTCAGGTCACTACCAGCGTAGAGCTAAATCGCTAGTGCCGTTCTTTACTGTAAACGTTTACCTTTTTGATTGCTCCGTTAGTTTAAAAGTTTAAATTTTTTTTTTAATAAATGTGTATTTTCAGGATAACAGAAGATTTGAGCATCTTCTAAATTCTGCTCACCCTGTGACTCTGTTTTGCCAGTTGTTCATTTGCTTGCTGCAGGCAAAGCAAATTCAGGAAATTGTCTCAGACTCTGTGTCTGACAGATATGTTTGGATCTCACCCTGACAGGTTTTGGTGGTTGGAAACCCCGCAAACACCAACTGTCTGATCGCCTCCAAGTCTGCTCCATCCATCCCTAAAGAGAACTTCTCCTGCCTGACCCGACTGGACCACAACAGAGCCTGCTCCCAGGTACATGTGTTTACAATTTACTATTGTTTTGTTTACAATATACATTTGTATAATACAGGACAACCTGCTCACATCTCCAACCAGCTGTTGACCACACATCACTGAGGCAAGTAAACACTCATCCTGCTGGGACAGTTTCTGTGAGAGTTGTCATCATGAAATTATTTTGAATTGTGAACTATAGTAATGCATAAAATCCTGTCTGACGTGACTGTAGTTCGTCTCTGCCCTAAACATGCTTTAAACTTGTTTTGTTTTTTGGAGTAAACCGTATTATAATATTGTGATGTACATTAAGATCTGAAACTGGCATTTGTCTTTGCAAAGACAGCTGAACAATATCACGCACAAACAAGGGCCCAGAACGTTTAGTTGCACAAAGTGTTTTTTCAGGTGCTCAGACTTTCCTTTGGTTCGATTCTGTCAGATGGAAAAATACACTTAAGTTCCCCAGTAACAGTTTGTTTTGGGGTTTTTTGCTTATATTGATAAAAGATTTTATATCGAATAACCACTAACTGGAAAACGCACCATTAATTATAGTGTTGACATATCATGGTTACTATTTTAAAATACTACTTCTGTTTTTATTGTTGTATTCTCTCCTGAAGGTGGCGATGCGCTGTGGCGTGTCCTCTGACCAAGTGAAGAACGTCATCATCTGGGGCAACCACTCCTCCACCCAGTACCCCGATGTCCACCACGCTAAGGTCAACCTCCAGGGAGCCGAGACGGAAGCCTACCAAGCCATCAAGGACGATGCCTGGCTCAGAGGAGACTTCATCTCTGTGAGTTATTGACTCCATGCCAAACATAACAAACAGACTGAAACTTTGTTCTAATGTGAAACCTTCTCCTCTTCATCCTGCAGACAGTGCAGCAGCGTGGTGCTGCTGTCATCAAGGCCAGGAAGCTGTCCAGTGCCATGTCTGCCGCCAAGGCCATCTGTGACCACATGAGGGACATCTGGTTTGGCACCAAGGAGGTCAGTGCAGATACAGAGATTAACGCCAGCTCAATTTTATTTTATTTTTTTTAGTGTTTGACAATAATAAGAATCCCGATGGTCAGAAAGGTAAGTCCTCATCTTTAGACCTGCAAGATCACATCAAAAAAGCTTTTTCTTTTCTTTTTTCCAGACAAGTTACTGAGTTTGTAGTCTTTCTTTATACATTTCTGCTTACATGTTATTGATGCACACTGATTGAAACTGTTACCTGTCTTCAAGGGTGAATTTGTCTCCATGGGTGTCTATGCTTCTGGAAACTCCTACAACATCCCAGAGGACCTGATCTATTCTTTCCCAGTCCAAATCAAGGTGAATACATGCTGGACCGTAAAATAGGTCAGGATTAGGAAGTGACTGTTCAAAATCTGTCCAGGTTCTTGTGTTGGGCTGGTTTATATACAGGCTACATACATCTGTCTGCATAAACAGCTGCTGCAGATCATTCCCACACTGCTGCTGCTTTATGGTCCTTATGTGAAGCTAAATAAACAATGTTAGTGCTTGTAAATCTGTAGCAAACCGATTTGTCTTTTCAACAGCATGTCCACCTGCACTCTTCTGCCTCCATCGGTTCAGAACATGAACATGGCCCAAACTCTTTAAGGTTGCTGAGGGTGTATTTCTTTTTGCCTGGGCATCAAGCAGTTTGTCAGCGTTAGCAAGTAAGCTGATGTTAGCTGATATCAGCTAAAAAGAAGAAAAAAAACATGCTGTGAATATTAAAGCCTGTCAAACAGCAGAATACTGCAGTGGACAGCAACAGAACATTTGTCTCACTGAACGGATCTTTTGGTTTTTGTGATCAAACGTGATTCTGGCTCATGTTACCCAATGCTTAACCAAAATCAGATTAAAGTGGTTGGCTAGCTTGCCTAATTACTTAACCGCTGCAAAATGAACGTGTGCCCCTTATCACATTCATGTAAATTTAGTCGGCATTATAACTGGTACTTGTATATAAAGTGTATATACTCGTCTCCCAGATGATGTATAAGGTACATTAGTGTCCAAAACTGTAGGTTAGTCACATGTAAGTCACGTCATGGTTTTAGTTGATGTTTGTCGCACAGTAACAATAACAACAACAACAATGCTCTTTTGCTGACAGCCTTAGTTGAAGATGAGTTTGGACAAAATGCAATAAATCTCATAGCTCGACCATTGACTCTTCTCTCTCTATCCACAGAACAAGACCTGGAAAGTGGTCGATGGCCTTCCCATCAATGACTTCTCCCGAGCCAAGATGGACGCCACAGCGGCAGAGCTGGTGGAGGAGCGAGACACTGCCCTGGATTTCCTCTCCCAGTGACTGTCACGCGCCGGTGTCCAGAATTTAGTTCCCCCAAAGGCGCGCTGCTCTCGGCTCTGAGATTCCACCATAATAAACCGTCCAAGCTGGCGCCCGCGTGTCACCTCTGTGTGTATGTGTTTATGCGTGTGTGTGAGTGAGTGTGTGTCACTTGGCCACTTCAGGTTTTCAGAAAACCTGTTTAATGAACATAGCCTGGCCTCCTACATCTGCAAGACACTGAAAAATGTCTGTGGTGGTAGATAACACGCAGTAGCTGTCCAGAAACTGTAACGGAACATGTCACCAATAAAGCAAGAAACCGACCAAATCAGGCCTCACGTGTGCTTCTTTCATGTTTAGGAGTCTCAGCAGTGGATACAATACAGGTTTTAAACTTTTCTTTAAAGACTGGGGTTAAACTATCATACCCACCTGGATCTGTTATAATAGATGGTCCACTGTCAGAATACAGTCTGAAAGACACATGAATGCAGTATAGGGGACATTATGTGCAGCACAACCTTTTAAAATATTGTTGATATCTTTTCTGTATCTCAATCTTGTAAATCAACTTGCAGTGATGTGTGGGAAATGAGCACCAATATTGGAAAGTTTTCGCCAGTGTCTACCTTATAATGACACTGCATAGTGTGTTTTACCACTCTGAAAACCTCAGAAGGCAGAACAAAGCTCAACCTTTACTTTATGATTTCTATTAAATCCTCCAGACAGTTGCAGTAAAAGCCTATTAGCCACAAGAGGGCAGTATCTGCACATAAACAGCTGAGGATTTTTTTGTGTTGCGTTCAGTTAATAATTTATAATCAGACTCTTCCTGTTTGCAACTAAATGAATAGGTAACTACAGGGTTTCAGTTGTATTACCAGTGTTTATATAAATGAAACCTTTTTTTTTATCAACAATAGAAGATTTCTTTTTCTTTTTTAATAGAAATGAATACAATACAAATAAAACCAGAGTAAGATATGTGGAAACAGGAGATCAGTAATGAAAGCTTGTTAACTTCAAAAGAATAAATGGCAGTTATACTAAAGCTGTTTTTGTTTTGTTTTTGTAAAATTAAGCACTGGCCTACAAAAGACAGAGAGATAAATGGATCAATTTAAATATCCACCAGCTCCTTTTAAAAGCATGCATTCCTCCCGTTATAACCATAAATAAATAATATAAAGAAATGCGGCTAAAACCTGCAGCAAACAGCATAAAAGTTTTAGATGTGACAATTTTGGGGGCTTGGGGACGTAAACAGGTGTTAACAGGGTTTTCTTTGTAGAGTTTTGCAGTTTGGTGGATCTATCTGTAGAAAAAGGAAGAAGGGTTAATGGCCAGCAGCATCGCACATGAAACTATGGCCCTGCTTCGACTGACAGGCGTTTTTAGCCAATCACCACTTGGCACTAAAGGGCGCACCGTTACGTCACTTACCATCCCGGCTCGCGCTGCGCGGAGCTGTTGTGGCTGCTGTCAGCTACAAGCTAAAGGCAGGATGACGACTTTTCGTGTTGACACCTTTTAATGTTATTTGTTTTTAAATTAAAATGAACTGCCCGGTCTGAGCCCTACTCGATCCCCGTCTGAACTTGTCCGTGTTGTTCTCGGGTGTGTTTTGAGGCCCTTCCGTTACTTTGACAGTGTTCCGGTGAGTAAGAGCTCAGTGAGAGCTGTGGCTGCTTTGCACGTTGGTCAAAACGAGTGTTTGGAGAAGCGTAAATGAACATTGAAAAGCGCTCAAACACGAAACTGCTTCTGCCCTGTGTGTGCGCGCTGAACAGAAACGTTTCACCACGGGCTTCACACACAACAATCTGCAGCTGATAGCTTAGTGAATTTTAAGCAAACGTTGCAGTTTTTTCTTTGTGGTGCAATGATACGTGCCTTTACGTTGTGCCAGCTGGAGTGGAATCTCAACCTTTGACCTTTAAACAGCAGCGTAAAGGTCAGGGTAAAGGTCACCATTAAAGCTTGCAGGTGATTTCAGCAACAAACCACTGATAACTTGGGAAATCAACTAAATGGATTATCTGAATGGAAGAAATATAGCAAAACCTCACATTTGAAAAGGTGAATTGATTTTTTTATTAATATTTTATTTTCAGCATAGCGTTTCTACATGTACCGGTTTTCTTTAGAAGCATAAATTATTTCTGTTTGCACACAATAAAATAGAATAACGACAAAAAAGAATTGTCAACAATATTAGCCCCCTGAAAAACTGGACTAGCATGAAGTACAGCTGTGCAATGAAAATGCTTCATCTCTGTAATGCTCAAAGCAAAACTGAGTTTAATGTGAAGGATAACTTCCAACTTACACACAGTATAAAAACTTACGCGAGGGTTTGTCACTTGAAAAAACATGCTAAAAAACATTTTAGACTTTTTCTGTACACCGTATAGAAAAAGCCTGACAGAGATGAAAAGTGGATGATTTCAAACATGCTGAAAAGAAAACTAGTGAGAGAAGTGGCTTAAGAGTGACTCCAGAACCACTACGAAGACAGCAATGACTGACTTCCCAGTCAGAAATTGTAGTCTTAAAGAAGGTCAATACCAGAACCTTTTACACACCAAGAAAAACTCCACTTCTGCACAAGCGATATGTTCAAGCTCAGGACAACCTGGAGAAAGATTATGCATACTGGAAGGCCATCCTTTGGTCAGATGACATTAAACTGAAGCTCTTCTTATGTTTAGAAAAAGAAACCCAAAGAACACCATCCTCTCAGTGAAACACTGTGTTGGGAGTATTGTGAAAGGAATCATAAAGAAAGGACGTGAAGAAATTTGAAAGAAACCTCAAGCAGCAGAATTAGATCTAGGTTATCGCTGTGTCTTTCAAAACAACAACCCATAACATACATCATCTCTGGTGAAGAACTACATGGCAAAGTCCAAAGTGAATATTATTGACCGACCTGCACATCCCACTGAAAGGCTGTGGCCATCAAATCTACAGAAGCTTGAGAGACTCGTCAAAGTAGAATGATGGGGTGGGAATCCTCAGGAGGTAGATGTGAAGACATGAGTGGGCAACCCCCAACTGTGGGCAACTGCAGAAGGTAAAATAGATGAACAAACAGTTTTAGGGTGGACCTACTCTGTGACTGAGGAAGTTGTTATAGTATGAGCAATCCTGACCTTGGCTTGTCAGCCAGGTCTACCTCAAGCTTTAAGGCCTTTGGATAGTTTTTATTTTTTAATATAAAGTTGACACTAAAAAAAAAAATCTGAAATCTAGAAATCAGATTTTTACTGTAACGCAGGACATAAAAAGCCAATCTGTATTCTGTTTCTTAAAGAACTGATTAACTGAATGTTTCAACGGTACACAGCGCCTTGTGACAAACCCCCTGGCAGCTTGTGATTGGTGTGTGGGGTTGGGGGCAGGCCTTGAATTAAGCTTGGGGTCAGAGCAGCGGCTCTGTGAGCTTCCTCTGAGCTGAGGATGAGGAGTATGTGTGTTGTTCTCTGACAGCTGCTCACTCTGCTTTTCTTTGGGACCATTGTTCACTGTGAGCTGACATACCTGCCACCAAAAGCTGCCAGCTGCTTCGTTTCTGCTGAGCTCGCCCCCACTGTTAAAATGACTCTGACTGTAGCTGGTAAGTTTGCATCTTGGTTGACAGGATGGACTTTCTGACTGCAAGTCTGTTCCCTCAGACATTAGTGTTGTTAGTGTCAATAGATTTTCTGGTTTTTCCTTAAACTCCTAGTCACCAAGATTACCCGAGGGGTAAAAGAGCGACTTGAAGACTCCAGCACGTCCTCAGACATCCTGAAAGTCAGACTTTAGTATTGACACAAACACTGACATAAAAGCACCTCGTACTGTTTTAAAAGTGAGCTTCTGCTGATTGGTTTGTGTTGCACTAACTTTTTTTTCTTATGTAATTCCGTATGTAATTATTTGTTCCCAAGCTTAATGTGTGACCTAATATTTGATGTATTAAGGATAAAGTACAAGCGTTTAATTCCAGAATTACAATTCCTGTCAAACCTGAGCTTTAAAGTTTTATTTTTAAAGCACTAAAGCACAATAAAAGAACAGAGAAATTAGCTAAATGAATATTAAAATATATTCAAAGTTGCAGCTGGCACCTAAGTAAAGAATAAATTCCAATTCACAGATTATAATTGTTCCTTTAACTGTGGCTCTTTTTCTAAAATATATTTGGAAAGCAGTAACTGCCTGTGTATTTAATCTTTGAGCAACACATCTACAGTTAAATTAAATGAAGACGATCCATGCGTATGCTTACAGATCTGACTCGGAGAGCAATGACAGAGTTTGAGGAGAAGCTCCGTCAGCAGCATGAGGATTCGATGCACCGCGAGCTGGAGGCTCTGCTCACCACAACCAACAAAGCTGAAGCAGAGGTGGGAACGCCTTTGGCTCTGCTGCTCCCTCCAAACATCCCCACAAATGCTCTGAAACTCTGAAAAATCCTCTCAAACATCACAGGACAGGAGTAAACGTGGGATTTTTCTGCATAGGATTATCTCGTGCAGCCCCAGAAAAGCTTTTTCGTAATTTAATACTATTTTTCCCTCTACAGTTTTGTTAATTGAGGTTTCATTTACCTAATTGTAGTTAATATGTGAGAGAAAACATGCATATGTCAAATAAGGTAACACATACCCATTACTTTTACTGCACGCAGACTGGCGACTGTACGTTTTTTTTGTGTTTGTTCTTCTCATCCTTCGAGCTTTTGTCATCTGCTTTCTTATCGTTTTGTTAAATGAAAACAAAGTTTCTATCACAGGGTGGTCACAGAGTTGGTGCGTAGGTTGTAATGACACAAAGCGCCATCAGCTTTTTTGCCATTAACTGTTTGGTTTTTACTAGTAATTTTCATTTTGTCAGATTTAGCTCTGAAGCGATGTGGTTTTTGAAGGATGCGGTGTTTGCACTGTAGCATAAGACAGCATCTGATTCTTTTGTTAAATTTGTAATTTTCTGTTACATTCTTGTAGTTTTTGAGGGACACACGAGGTGACAGATGCCATGGACTCATTGATCTGTTATATATGTGGAACAAATGTTTGTACATTATTGCGTACAGAGAGTCCATTACATTCATCTGAGCACGTAGATTTTGTTGGCAGAAATTTGGCCTGACGGGGGAACCTGAGGTGAACAACCCAGAGGTCCTGTAAATGATTCATACCTGCTTCAGTAATCGGCCTCAGACATGAAGATTTTAATGTGGTGTAGCTGTCACTCTGAAGGATGAACGAAGACAATGCTGCTCCTTTTCTTTTAACATGCTACAACATTAATTGATAGCTTATAAACCTGTTATGG